ATTCTGGGAGTTGAAGTCCACACGTCTTAAAGTCGCCAAGGTTGACAAACACTGGCCTAAACGTTTGTAAAAACTGCAAATCAGCCAGAGTATAAAGAAAGGGGAAATTAGAAATCAAATATTTATCTACCTTTCCAAGTACCTCTTTTTTCCGTTTTTTTAAAACATTTATAAATAATAATAAATAACAACACAGTGGAGACCTTAGTATTAAGCATTAAGCTCAGAGATGCAAATCTTTTTTATATTATGAAGTATTTTAACATATTCTGCAATTGTGTATCAACACCACACTTAGGTGCAATTGTACAGAGTTCAAGCCACCTTATGTTTATTCATATTTTAGAAATTATATTTAACATCGACATAAACTTTTCTCTCCTTGTCTTTAAAGGTTTAACATCTAAACCCTCACAGTGTTGTTAACAATTTCTAGTTTATATTGCCCAACCCAGCTAATATGTATCTTTGGCAATGTATTATTCACATATTCTAATGCAACAAAACAATTATTTGGGAAAAAAGATAGAATGGGACAGTGGAATGCCTTCCCCATCATCATTTTTCCCTTGGCATATAGAAAAGGAGCATTTCAGGAAATCCAACCATCATCTTCCCACACTCACATGCTAGTTTATCAGATACAGTTAATCATTTTGTCTGACAAAGGGAGCATTTCTTCAGCCTAGCATGTAATTGGAACATGCTGGCTGGGGAACTCTGGGAGTTGAAGTCCCCCCATGCGGGCTAGGGGATTCTGGGAGTGGGTCCACCCACGCTGGCTGGGGAACTCTGGGAGTTGAGATCCACACATGCTGGCTGGGGAATTCTGGGACTTGAAGTCCACCCATACTGGCTGGAGCACTCTGGGAGTCCTCACACACTGGCTGGGGAATTCTGGGCGTTGAAGTCCACACATCTTAAAAGTTGTCAAGGTTGAGAAACACTGCTCTAGAAGGACGAGACAGCCCCGTACATTTTCTTCCTGAACTTGATCCTCGACCTCAGGAGTCCCTGCCACTGGCCAGTTGCAAGCAAGCCATCAAACTCTTGCCCCCCCCCCAGCTGTATCTTTTTCAAAATTTCCTGTCTCCTGCAGCATTACAGAGGCCCTTGTCTTTATTAGGGGGGGAAAAAAGGACAAAATTAATGAGAACTGAAAGGCATGTATTAGCATTGCAAACCCCAGAGCCAGCATTTATTCTCTGCAGCTTTGACTCAAGGAAACATAATTCTTACCCCAATGTAGCAGCGGCAGTTTTACGAGCTAATAAATTTGCCAGCGATACGCCGTTTCGGTCACTCATTTCATCTCCAGTGTGAAATGGTTGCAAAAAGGCAGCCTTCGCCTCGTTAAGATTCCTTACTCACCCATGGAGAGGAGGGAAGCACCCCACTGAAAGGAATCCATCCTTCCCATTCCTCCACCTTCTCTGGAGGAGCATCTCTTTGCTTCAGCCCCACCAACTGCTGTGATATTTGCATTAAACCTGCACAGAAAGTGAAATGTCCTCACCCTAATCCAAAAACTTCTCACGGTAGCACACCGGAACCCAGAAATTGGCTTACTTTATATACACGTGGGTGCGATTCACACCTTGGGTGTGCTTAAGCATGGTTGTTTGGATCACTGGCTGGTATGGAAGTGCATAAGCCACAGCTCCCACATACCAATGGCCGGGTCCACATGCTCCCCCAACTGCAGAAAGCACAGTTGGGCTAGTGGAAACACGCGGACTGTGCCAAACCTACAGAAAAAGCATGTGTGTCCCAGCTGTAAAAATCAGATGCACCATCCATTTTTTCAAGCTTTGTCCATATGGTTCCCTTTTAATCCTTCTGCCCAAAGGAATGGTGCAGAGGAATGACGGCAGAGACCCTCTTGGTCCGCCCGTCTGTCCATGCGCAGGAAAACTCTCGGAAAGCAGGACGGAACGGGCCGGATTTAGTCGGGGGG